TTTTTTGTTGCTAGTGTTATTTTCGTTGGTTTTATTTCGTTTTTTTTTTTCTCCGTGTATTTTGTTGGTGTATAACCTACAAATATGAATACAGAGAATGACACATGCACTTTATGTGCCGAATCCACGACCAATTCCAACAAAGATGTGATAAATTGCTATGGATTTTGCGGTAAACAATTTCATATCAATTGTTTAATTATGGAAAATGGTAATTACAAGAAATCCATTATAAATTATCTAGTTTCAATTAAGAATTTACAGTGGTATTGCGATATATGTTTGACCTTTACGGTAAATGGCATCGCATCAACTCTCGTGAATAGTGCCAAAATCATATCGGAATTTCAATCAATTGAAGGTTTCCAACGCAGCCACTTCGGCAAAGCAAATAAATAGCGCGAATTTATCATTATCCGCTCCTATTTTGACACAGTCTTCAGTAATTCATACTGACATTCCATCGACTACGATCAATCAGATGGAAATCGATACCAATATCGTTGTTGATATCGATGTAAACAGTACCGATGTGATTGACCCTGTTGTTAACGAAATCAATGACACCAGCATAATTTCGATTTCGTGTGATATTTTGACAAATGATGTTCCGACCGTGCGACCAAAGCCAAAAGTTTTACGCAAGCGTCGTAGATCTGTCAGTCCATCGACTAGATCAAATGTGTCGACAAATACAGTGTCAAATCAACGCAAAAAGAAGGTGTCAAAGCCAACGAATTTGACAAAGGCTAGCTCAGAGCCTAATTCAATGGCGGTTTCACATCTCCAGTCAAAAGTCGTTGGCAGGAATATTACAGCCACCTCAAATCCTAACAAGAATTTGAATTCCAAAGTGGCAAATGGTGATTTTGGGCATCGGGTCGGTCATACAATTAACTCAAAATTGTATGAAACAAAAACGGTCTATATTTCACCGTTTCGGCCTGATACTACTGTCGATGATATCACCGATCATTTGAAATCACACCAATGTTACAGTGTTGTAGGTGACTTGAAGGTGATCAAACTGGTGAGCCAAAATAAAGACACCAGGAAATTATCGTTCGTTTCCTTTAAAATAGAAGTGCCTAATCATTATTTCGACATTATTATGGACAGTTCCATTTGGCCACCGGGCGTTAAAGCCAAAGAGTTTGTTGAAAATTCACTGCCTGGCAAAAAAACTCTAAATCAGTTCCACCTCCCAAACGAACCGTAAAGAATCCAAAAAACAAGGATCATGCCTCGTTCAGGCCACCAATTCTTGGTCGAAATCGACGAAAGCCACATCAAAGGCAAACAATTTCACCGGAAATTCCATCGATTGCCAACTTGTTGCCGCTGCTGTCTCAGTGCCTACTCAGTCCACTGATGGGTTCGTACAGTCAGCCTCAACAAAATCGTCGCAACTAAGCAACACAAATCACTCTCTCTCTCCTCCAACGACTTTGGTGTGCAATGATATTTATTATCAAAATGTTCGTGGCTTGCGCACCAAATCAAAACAATTTTTCTGCAATTCGTCGGCATTTGCACATTCGATTGTTGTTTTAACGGAAACATGGTTGAAGCAGTCTCATTTTTCGTCAGAATTCTTTGACAATTCATACCATGTTTACCGTAAGGATCGTTTTGAGACTGGTTCATTGTTAAGTCGTGGTGGTGGTGTACTCATCGCAGTCACCTCAAAACTAACATCCACCAACATTGTATTCGATGACGCAAGTGAATTGGAATATGTCTGCGTTAAAGTCAGCATTAATACAAAACTCAATGTATTTATGCGTATATTCCGCCAAACTCACAGCCGGAAATATACAAACGCCACTCGATTGCCATAAGCCATATTCCATCGAGCCCAATTGACACTATTATTGTATTGGGAGATTTTAATCTACCTCTTGTCAATTGGATTATGGATGAAGATGAACATAATGTTCTCATTCCAACTTGCGTCACTCCATAGCATGCGGCGGTTTTTATCGAAGACATCACTGCCAATGGTGTCTATCAGATTAATTCTATTCGCAATGCCAGCAATAAACTGCTCGATTTATTATTTACGAACGATTTCACGAACGTCGAAGTTTCTTGTCCACCGCCTTTATCTGCCATTGATGAACAATATCATCCACCTATTACCTAGACGTATGAATGGCACATAAATAACTTAACTTAAGAGCAAATTCCAACTAGAAACTTCCTTAAAGCCGACTACATTGCAATGAATAGGTACTTTGCCAAAATCGATTTTTCCGAACACTTTTCAAATAAGCCTCTTGACCATAAAGTCGACATTTTGCACCAAATTATTAACGAGGCGATTGAAAAGTTC